TGAGGAACGGTTGTTCCAGCCAGTATAGCTCAGTTGCTTCATCACGATAGGCAAGCCCGACCACCACGTCAAGGTAGCAACAACGGTCAGGTTCAAGTAAACAACCTTCACAAGGTTTATGTACTTCTAAGAATCGCCTTTCAACGATAGACACTGCTACAGAACCTCTCGGTCCAGAGTCAAATTCTGCTTTTAAGTCAAGAAAAATCACCATTGTCGGACGCCGATAAGCATGCCTGTGTTTTAGAACCTGACGAATGATGAGTATGTGATCAATGCAGATACAACAAGGTCTGAAGCCAGTCTGTGACGCTATCGCCGATCTAACTTCAAGTTTCTTCAGATCAACCGAGGATTTGGGAAAATTTCTCAAACATTGCTTGTGTTCCTTCAACCTCACATTCAATTCCCCACATACGCTGCATTACAATCATCACAGCTGATCTCATAGACAACATTCTGTTCTCTCTTAGGAAATCTATCCTTAACTCTCACTAATGCTGATCCTATGGTGTCACTAGCCAGAAAATACACTGCCATAGAACCTCACGATCAATAGAGTCAAATACCGCCTTAAGGTCGAGAAATACTGCGATTGTGGGGCGTCTGAATGTGTGTCTATGTTCTAGGACCTGACGTTCACTAGCCACAAAATACACCCTTATATCATGTTTGTTTAGAATCCTCTTAATTTCTTCCGACGTTTCATTACGGTATGGGATGACCAGAGTGTACTTCCAATCTTTCGGTATACTCTCTAATTTAGTTTTTTTTTTCATTTTTTATAATCTTTGAACACTATTCGGGCAAATTGTTAGCCTTAAGTGTAGACAAAATTCAATTCAACCTGTTGGCCTTCCTCAGTAATGAGATCAATAATCCTTTAATTAAATTTTGTACAATTGTGACCGTTGTACAATACGCATGAGCCGAACCGTAATCTAAGTATCTCTAAGAATATGTTGATTTCCTTAATACATTTATTTTCAACTTATTATTGCAACTTCGCTCAATCAAACAATGGAGAAACGCTAATTTGTGGTCATTGGACTCTACTTCCTTTTTTAGCTTGATGCTCTCCGAAATGTTTACATTTTCAAACAATTCTTCTAAATCATTCCGTTTAATGAAAATGTCATCTGCATACCGTAACTAGACTTTTGGGGGATTTACACATCTTGTGGTCGCACTGCTTTCTAGGGAATGCATGCGTAAATTCGCTACAATCAAGAAACCGGTGAACCCATTGCCATACTTTCTTTCTTCGGAATGAGAATAACGTGGGTCGTAAATACAATTCCAAAACATTTAATAACTCCAGAAGGATCTAACGGGCATCGTAAATTCAAATCTGAACCAGATTCTAAACAATCATAAATAATATCCTATACTTTGTTGATACGCACATTAGTAAATAAGTTAGATTTAAATTGAAAATAGAGGTAATTTCGTTGTAAATAACACCCGAAAGAACTAGAAGCCATTCGAGTTCATTTTACGAAAGAAACACTAGAAATATATTTTCACAAAGCAATCCAGATTAATTACCTTTTTATCCATTAATGAAGGTTAACGACACCAATTAACTTAACGGCAATCAAGACTTATTTGAATTTTGAAAATAAGTAGATACTCCTCTTTAAATGAATGATTTCAACCCAAAAGTATATGTATTGATAGTTATAAGATATTTCTTTAAGAAATTGTACAACAAGTGTCCTCATTTTATAATCCCACTGATAACAAAAAGAGATAACGCGGACAAATTGCTACCAATTTCAAACAAATAAAACTTACACATCTAATGTCGCTTGCTGGTTCACAGTTCCAACAACAGTCCTAACTGAACGATGACTGTGATCGTATGTTCGTTTTAGATCGGTAAACGTTTGTACGTAATTTATATTTTTCAAAATATCCCAATAATTTTCTATTATATGGGTAATTAATGAAGTTATTTCTTCAGAGCGAATATAGTCAAAAAGTTCGATAATAGCTGAGTCCAACAGGTTGTAACGATATCCGTTGGAAACGAAAAGCTTCAAAACTGGTTTAAAAAGATTGTTTTTGATCAAATAACGATTGTAAAATTCTTCTTTCATATGGACAACACGTCTTAGAAGGCGCAAAGCAGCTAAAAATAGCAGGTTAATGCTGAGTATGAGTTAACCTACTTTATTATCTTTCTGCTACGTACTTTGGCACGAAATAACCTACTACGTGTACTATGTCTGTGCGTTAAGCTTTATAAAAGCTTAGAAAGCTTCCGGTGAAGTCATGTTTCACTTATTTGGGGCTGCAGCTAATAACGACGAAACGTCAACGACGTGAGTCGCTATCCTTCCGAGTTCTTACGGAGCCGTTTGCCGAGTAGCGCATAGACGACTGTTTGCGTGGTTCCATTCTAGTAGCGCTTGTCCCGCCCTCATGCTTAGTGCTATGCCTACACCTGCCAGATCTCGTCGTCTCTCCGTTTTGCCGAGGTGAGGTCAAGTGAATTACCTTACTAGGATCCTGTATGTGTGTTTCGGAGACACAGCATATATCTATGGTACAAGATTTTAAGGTTTTAGTCAAGGAGGCCTGCTGACCGATTTGACACAGTGTGCGTACGTTGAAGGCTCCAATGTGTAGTTTGGAGCGAGGTTTCATTAGAGCTGGGACAGTTTTGCGCACTAGAATTGTTGGCTATGGTGACACTTGTGGAGGAATCCAAAAGAGGAAGTTTAGTGTAGAAAGTCGATGTAGGAGGAATAATAAGAATTGAAGAGGGAGGTTGATTATGAATACAGTGGTCTTGAGTGCTGTTAGAGGTATGAGGGCGGTTATCACTTCCCGGTTACCCACACAGTGGAATAGTTCTTCTGGATGTACCTGAAAGGGAAATTGGATTAGAGGCGGTCTTAGTGACCTGAGAGCGTGACCGCAGTGCCCAAGGGACAGCTGCTTGAGGTCGGTCACACACGACCTTTTTATGAGTAGTTTTTGTGTTAGCTCCGTACTTGTTGAGACCTTACCGCCGGAGACGGATATCCGTGGGATAAGGCGAGGTGTGCATTTTAGGGTCGACCTTTTCTAACCCCACCCCTCCTTGTGGGAAGGCAGCATCGCTGTTATGCTGGTTGTCTGAAGGAAACACCTTACTGCTGTTACACCTTTTTACAGTCGGCAGTTGTGCTTTGAACCTTGAGTTTGCTGCTTTTAGGTTTACTGTTCGTCAACAGACCTGTCTGGCCTGGTAGTATAGTGAACAGAACACAGGTGGGGACAACCGAATGTATTTAACAGCAAATTATGGAACTAGTTTGTAAAATGTTCATGAATTGTCTTTAATGAGTCAAAATTCCTTTGTTCTTGCATTTTCATACAAATTACATTCTGTTTTCATTATTTACTGTTCGAACTTTTCGTCTCTCTGTTGCCAGACATTCTGTTCATGACTCACGTCATATACTACTTATGTCTACATAAGTAGCACACTCTTCCCCTTTTAAAAGCAGTCGTTCTTGCGGTGGTTTATGCTTGTTGTGCAACATACTTCTTTTCTGCAGTCTGTGCTACGCCCTCCGTCAAAGTGTCGAGTCTGCGGCGCGCTAAACTTCGTCGACTTACCGGGGAAACAACACCCGACCTCCACCCGGCACCTGGGACGTTTACACCCGTGCTCCACCGGCCTGCTGAGCCATCTACATCCGATGTCCGCCCAGCAGCTGTACGTCCTGCCGCTACTGTTCGTCGACGGCATCAGCAACAGCCAACACCGCCCCTCCTGGACACTCCACCAGACTGCCCCAACCTGCACCTAAGCTCCAGGCCCGCAACGGCGTCCGCAGAACAGCACCCTTCCCCTCTCCCGGTTGGCAGCGACACCAAATGTAGTGAACATGTACACCAGTGGGGACAATCGAATGTATATAACAACAAATTACAGAGCATTTCAATAAAATCTGAGAACCATATATTAAATCGGTAATTTGCAAATTGTTCACCAACTGTCTCAAATGAATCTGAATCCCTTTGTTCTTGCATTTTCATACAAATTGCATTCTTTCTTCATTCTTTGTTGTTCGATCTTCTCGTCTCTCTGCTGCCAGACATTCTGTTTATGACTCACATCATATACTACTTATGTCTACGTAAGTAGCACACACCATAGTAGGACCTTGAGGAACACTTGTTCGAGACTGTATAGCATGATTGGTTCATCATGATATACAACCCTGTCCACCACCTTAAGGTGGCAGCAACGATTGGACTTGTAAGAAAATCTAAAATGTGCAAATAGTGTATTTGACGGATTTTTTCCATATTCTACAAAGACATAATTTTGCTTAGTAAAATTGATTTTTTCTGCTCAAGTTTTCTTTCAGTGAATACTGACCGCAACCCAATTCTCTGATATTTCAGGGAAGGACGGTTGGTTGAATATTAGTTAGACTCAAAATAGTTGTCATGAAATGAGTGATTTTCGCTATGATGGACGTTTAGAGCCAGTTGTAATACTGTCTTATACGTTTCTGTCGGGTAGTTAAAGTTGCTGACTACTTTTGTTTTGCACTCAAACGTATAGCTCAGAAGAGCAGACCTGAAAACCTACATTCTATTACTTCGGATGGTTATCGTCGCCCGCTTTAGGAAATAGAAGGGACCTTTTAGATGGACTTTATCAGTTAGCAGTCAACATATTTTTATGTAATTAGTGCTTTGAGAAGTAGAGCTAACCGGAAAGTCTTTCGTTTCTTAGAAAATCCTGTGAATAAAAATAAGTTATTCTGTTATAATTTCCAGATAACTAGATTTTGATTACAATAGGTTAGTTGTGTCAAGATAGAAAAGAAACCGCGTGGTTTCATAATGTATAGTGTATTCCCATTTCATCTGTACATATTTCGTTTCTCCTAATGTTTACACATTTTCGATACTTTAGACACACTGCACTGACAAAGTACTTAACGACAAGCACAGATATGTGATGGTGTTTAAACAGTAAAAAGTATCATCTAATAAACTGTACAGACGTTTTTTTTAAATAGAAAACAACCTTATTATCAATTAAGTGAGTAATAAGTAAAAACAAAATTTTTAATATTTCTCCCGATTAAGTTGAATGCGTCCTCTATACCCAGGAAAAGTTGGATTGCACATGATTGATCGTTCATAAATTTGTGTTCGTAATATTTCAGCCCGTTTCTAGAACAAAATAGAAAAACTAAATAAATCAAATGATAGAAATTGCGTTTAAACATTCTAAGATATGCTATTACTCAATGTGACCGATAAATTCTTAATCTCCACTGTTAAGGTAACTTACACGTTCAACACTAGAATTTGAAACGGCCTTTGTTCTTTTTTATAAGTAGTCAATTAAAACAAGGGAAATAGCCAGTTATTAAATCATAAATTGCGTAGTCATGAAAGTGAAATGATCACCAACATAGGATTTACGTCACTTGATAAAAAATTCTAGTAGATTATACAGAATAATGGCCCAACTATTCGTTTTGCTCTGTGGTGTTGTATACCATCAGGGGATTTTCGAAAAGAAAACCACTCATTAATTTCGACTATTCAATACAGAGTGGACTATTTACAATTTAGAAGATTTAGTGTTCGTGAATGTCTACAATGTTTATTTCAAAAGGATAATTTACATGTAGAATAATTGTCATAACTCTCACTTTTCCTCATATACGCAAATGGGACGTTAATTTACCTTAGACGATAATCTACACTAGATACCTTCCCAACATCTATTCTACAGGATGTTAACACAACTCAGATGAAGAATATGTGAATAGCCTGACTAGAACGTAAGTATATTTTCACAACAAAAACTGACAACACAATAATAATTATAAAGGTAGGAGGATATATGACTCATCTGACACTTGTCGGACATTCTACTAGTCTGACTACGCAGACAACCATTCTCGCCCACACATCAGCAATAGACTCATCCTATCTCGTTTCTGTTGTTCAGAATACATGTCCAGAAATCTTCGAAAGGAAGGCTCTTCTACTGTCTTACTATTTTACTTTTTTTCATCGAATTTTCTATTTCCCTAAAGTTTTATTACATTTATTTTATCAGCAACTAATCCGATCAGTAAGCGTAAAAAATCATGTTTTTATCAACGGAGGAGCTTGATGGTCATACTGGTTTTACATCATTCTTGAAGTCTTCGCAGTCATTACTGAAATCCCTGATCTACTTGAGAAGTTTTTTAATGCGCCATCTGAATTAATATATTTTAATAAGTCGTGAATTACTTAAGAGCTTCACCAAAGACTGAAGTTCTGGGCATTTATTGAGCAAATCATTAATAAATGGGTTGGTCGTATAACTTGAAGAAAGAAAGCAATTCAGTGAAGAAAACCTATACAGAGGACACGATCAATATCAAACTTTATAAACTACGGCAGATACTGATCAACAATGAATATCCATTGAATATAGGTATCATTACCAAGGCTTGACTTGATAATTTCGAATAAATTGAGCATTAGGTAGATTGATATAAATAAATTAATATATTTGTAATATCCTGAAGAGGAGAAAAATTAAATTTTCTGATGTTTCGTGACTCATTGTGAGTCACTTCTTCAGAGAATAAATATCCAAACCAAAATTAAGTTTGATTTGGTTATTTATTTATCTATTGAATATCATTAAGAAAAACCTGAGACCGAAACGACGTGAGCGTCTGGTTTTCTAAATGATTACAGAAGTCATTCAGAAGCTCAATTTTGGAACATCTAGCTAGTTCTGGCCACTCCGGTTCACTAAAAGCTTTCAAAACCATATGGTCAGAAAAGTCGGCTCAATAGGAACGCAAATGAAAAACTTTCGTAGAGCGGAGGTTAGTGCTAAGCTTAACCTTTAAGTACAAAAACAGTATATTCAGTCCCTCACTCTTCCATGGTCATAATCCGCCTTTCTATCTTTCATAATCGATCGTTTTTTATTCCATTATTTCTACTCCTAATTACTTTTATGACTATTAATCAGTAATTATTACAACTCTCAATTATGTTGTTTTTAATAGCTATCACGTGGACAGTTATCTTCACCTTACTACTTTTCACTAGCCGATTATTACGTAACTTCCTTTCAATATCTGATTTTAATTCATGACAAGACACCATTTCAAGTTTTTAAATATTCTATTTGAAAATAGACTACTATTTTAGCAAATAAAATTCAGTACGATTGTACAGCTTAAGTAAACGAAATCGTCGAAAAAAGTTTTCGCTCAACTGCCTTTTTTCTTCTTCATTGATCGTATAACTGTTACGCCTAGTACTTGGAGGCTAGAAACTGACTATCCAACTGCCTCATTTCCTGAGAATTCTCGTACAACTTGAGCCCCGAATAAAAGACAAGAAGCCAGAAACCTATTAAATTTAGTGACAAGGTGTGCAATTATCTAATCACGATTTGGCATACAGCCCACTGTTTTTCTGGAAATGTCTGTCCAGTTTCCACTCAGTTAAGTTTTTAGCCTGTTCCTCAGCTTTTGAAGACTTTTGAGGGCTATTAACAAAAACACATTAGATTTATATTTCTAACATTTTTGGCAATTATATTTTAGTGAAGTTATGAGCTAAATAGATTAACGGAAATAAAGGTATAAGATCAAAACAAATGAATATCAGAATATTTGTTTTATGAGGATTGACTTGTCAGCAAACCTTCGGAAACAACGATGGCCGAACACAGTCGTCTAACATCTTCGGCTCGGAGTTGTCAGGTGTCGCGAGGATAGAGTGGAGGTGCTCTTACCAATGCATTATAAACACAACCTTTTGAAGCCAGATTAACATCACGATGGCGTCAAAGATGACATACGCCGCTCTGGTTTCGACTAATGAAGACTGATCTCATTTAACCCACTACCAATACATACAAATAACCTGATAAACGCACTTCATTAGTTCTAGCGGTCCACTTTAAAGAGTGAGTGCTGGTATGCACTCATGACAATCCTATAAAAGTACTTTGCAACTAGGTTCAATTTACCGTTCTAAAGGAAACCTATGAACAACTGATTGAGTGCCACTTTTATATAGGACTGAAATTTCATCCACATACTCAAGATCGATAAGACCTCGATGTAACAGATCCACACCACTATTACCTAAATCCATCAGAGCTGTTTCCAGAATGTTGATGATACAGGTGAAGAGGAATGGTGACATCAGATAACCCCATCGCATGAATGGAATAATCGACAGAGTTGGTTGCATACCCTCATTCTCATTAGGTGTTTGTGTACAGAACCTTCAAGATAGTAGTAAATTCTCCAGAAAAACCCTACTTCAAAACAACATTAGACAAAGTCCATTCCAATGAACTGAAGGAGTTTCTGATATCAAGAAGAACAACTATTATTAACCTGCAATGAATGTGGCGGTGCTCTTAAATTTGACAGAATGAAAATAAGATCGATACACCCATGGACCTGAGCCTATCGCGATACACCTAGGCTATAAAGACGAATTCACCGTTTTATATGAGAATAATGTCACGTAAGTATCATATTGAAGAATAACTCGTTTTATATAAAGAAGTTAACTGGGATATCGAGTTCTAATCAAATGTTTATTAATAACTTTTAGTTTTAATCAAGACAGTAATAACTGAAAGACTTCAGTTACTTAACTGCTCCAGAAGCTTTATGATGATGTACTGAACTGTTGAGAAATAATGGCTAAAACAAGATATCTCAACTTGATTGTGTTAAAAAGTATAAATAATTTGTATCAAGTGACGGAAATTTATCTCAAGAGATGATAACTAAGAAGTGAACGGTTCAAAACATTTCTATCAGACTTTTATTACAAACATGTGCTGAAAATTTTATATTGTACTAAACATTTAATATTGAATAAACTGATTATAATTATTAAGGCTCTGGATAGCCTGACTGAAATTCTACCGTAACCCTAAAGGTCCATTCATTTTTAATCGTGCTAGAAATCTTCAATATATCTTTCTTTCAATTATATCCCGTATGTATGTTTGTTATATTATCCTTTTCTACTTTACATGGATTGTTTTCTACTGTGTTGTCTATCATGAACTGTGTGCATATATGGAGAATTGAATTGAGGCATTCTTTGTAGAGCAGACATTCTTCTGCCACGTTAATACTATAGTATACTTGATATATAATAGTCTACATTTATACACATTAGACGATTAATAATCTTTACAGCAATGCATGAAATTAATTTTAATATTATTACGGTAAGATTACAAAAGAACTTACACGTAATAAGTTATTTCGTAGAAACTCTTCACGTTTATTTAATAATTGTTGAAATTGTGAGTTTTGTCCCACTTCATCTTCAATAGATTCAGGAGAAGAAGTAACTAGGGGTGGTAAGCCAGATTGTGAACAGATCTTATTGGAATCTTTTTCTCCATATATCTCTAACTGATTATCGGCTTTAGCTGGTATTGTTCGAATATTACTATTATTATGTGATGTATTGGATAAGGCAACATTGACATTAGCTTCTGCTTCGGCTAAAGCTTTTTCTGCTTTTGAAATACGATCAAGACGTCTAGTAGCCACGATTAAATCATGACGAGCCTAATATACATAAGTCGAATAATAAATAAATAATGTAACAATACACATACATTCATTACTTATACTTGTATACACTATTCTAAAGTTTTGAAAGACAATATTCAAATAGTTTAGTGTAGCCGGATAAGTGTAAACTGTATAGAGCCTTCTTTTCTAAAATTTCATATGAAGTTAGCTTTCATTGTGAACTGATTTCAGTCGAAAACCCATTTAAATCGCGTAGGGAAGACTGCTGGAAAAAGATTAGATATGATCAGACGGAAAAAATGTAGCTTATCAGTTAGTTAAGTCATATTATCACGGGTCTGAAAAAAAATAGCCTTAATAGTGTAGACTGACAAATCCAATTGATGTCACAATCTTGAAACACTAAATTTATTGGGATGATCGTGTTTTAAAAATTCCATTTTGGTGAATTTCACACGGGCATTGATTAGTGACACTAAGACAATGTAGAAAAAGCCAAGAGGTGTTCAATATATAAAATAGTACCGTAGTATAAAGCAATTTATTTATTTATTTATTTTAACACATAATTATTGGTACAAGGAGGCACCAAATACATATGCGCCACATAAATCTCATTTGATTTGTGTGAGGGCCGTGATACTGCCCGGGTGCCCAAACCGAAGCAGGTGGTTTTCTTAGGGGGCCACACCCCGAGCCTTCGACCTGAACGTCTGACCCACAAGGCAGTGGAGCATCGTAAGGAGATGCAGTCCCATGGAAGCCGATGACCAATAATTGGTTCATACGCCATTTGTTCCTTCAGGATACTGGAGCCCATGTGCAGCATTGGTTTGGGGTCCGGTTAAAGCGCCGGACATTCGCTTTTCGTCCTCTCATTTTCGTAAAAAACACCCGTGGTGCGAGAAGGCAGTGAGTAGGACTTCCGTGGCAGAGGCTATATACGCGTGGCCATGTGAGAGCATTTCGAGAGGGAGAGCGGACTCTCCCCACTCTCGGCCGTACCAGGGCATTTGAGGGCAGTATAAAACAAAGCTATTTAGGACTGGGTAGCTGTTGGTCTTTTGCGATATTATGCCTGAGTTCCTAGAGATGGTACAACTTAGAAGCCTGAGGTGCTAAAAGATATGATTCATAACATAAGACAGTGGTAACCATGGCGTAGTTTTCTTTTACATTTTCCATAAACAATGAGTGGAATTACTTTGAATTAAAGGAATCTTTCTCGGTTGTATTTTTGATCGGACAATATCTCCTATTGTAAACTTCATTAGCCTTTACCATATAATGTTATCCTCTTTGTTTGTGTGGCGCATACTTTTTTGGGCACCTAATTGTACCAGGTTTCATATGTATGATATAAATAGATAGATGAAGATCTAATTAATCTTTCTCCTAAATTTTGAGATTTTACATTACTTTATACTTCTAGTTATTCGATTTGATTCTAGTTTTTAGGTTAAGTTAAACTTTTACCTACTGTTTAATAAATTATTACTTCAAATGTTTTTAATTTCCCTATTTGTTCATCTCTTGTTGTAATAACCAACGTGAAGTATGACAACTTAGACTAATGATGTCCATTTTCTATGCTAGATTCTATTATAACACTGTTGTTAAACTGCACGAATTGTGGTGAATATCACTTAATCATCATTCGATTTAACTGAGAAAAGTAGTATCAGTTTCGTTCTATTTGGTACTCGTTAGATGGATATATCTACATACCAGTGTTAATGTTTACATTGAGACTTTAACACAATGGTTTTCGGTCCAGATGATCATTAACTTGTCCAATCGTTATAAAAGTATTAGCAAAGGTTTGTAATTTCTCAATGTTAACAATCATGGTTACAATTAATATCGCACGTCAAAACGCGCGTTTTCAATATCTTACTGCTAGTCACATGCCAAATATACCATTCGTCTTGTTGTCTATTACTGTTCGACCATAAAAATAAATATTTTGATAAGCAGATCAATATATATATATATATATATATATATATATATATATATATATATATATATATATATATATTCAGTTACCTGTATTTTTGCTAGTAAAAAAGTCATTAATCGTATACCTTCCACTTTACGTACAGCCACTATACGACGGTATTCTTCAAGGGATATTTTCTTTTTAAGTAATTCTTCTTTGATTCTTTTACACCTATCTATCGCCTATGATAAATAAAAATAATGATAGTATCAGTTATGTTTTACAAAATTTATTTTCAACAATTTTCATGAATAAAAATTCATTCATTAGTATAAACGACTAACTTACTCAGTGATATGTTCCTTAATTCCCACGGCAGTTTGTAAAATCTTTACATTCATGTACACTTCTACCATCGCTTAAAAACCTAAGACGCATTATCAAATCTCATACTGAATCGACAAAATTACTCATTACACGACTAAGGACTGAGGCCAGTGCTTTTGTTAGAGCCGTTAATGATTTAAACATCGTATGTCGAATACAATTCATGAACTTCATTCGTGATCTTCAAATCAAGGTTTGCAAAGATTTCCATAAATCTCTATCGAAAACTCTGATAAGAGAACAACTATGTTTAGGGTTTCCGGAAAACCCTTCGAAGTTTATCTATAACTTATCAAATACGAAGCTCAATAGCATAGAAACAGAAGCCTTGTCACTGGGACTCAAATTTCATATACCAAAAACAAATCACAGGAATGCTCAGAGAACTTTTAAAAAAGAAAATGATTGATAATTCTAATTACAACGATCTAAGACCACGTGGTTCACGTCTACCTCATATGTATGGTTTACCAAAAGTTCACAAACATGACGTTCCCCTCAGACCTGTCCTATCAATGATCAACTCACTGTATCATAAAGTTGCACGCTGGTTAGCAGTAAAACTAGAACCGGTTCGTCGGAGTTTAGCAACATACACGTTAAAAGATTCATTCCAGTTTGCTGATAGATTAAATCATACGAATGTTCATGGTCTCTTTTGATGTAACATCCTTGTTCACCAATATACCACTTTTTGAAACTATTGATATAATTTGTCAGAATAATGATCTCCTACCTTTAACAGCCCCAGAACTCAAAAAGCTACTACTAATGTGCACAACTGATGTTCAATTCCCATTTAATAACACCATATATAGCCAAATCGATGGCGTAGCAATGGGGAGTCCACTAGGTCCAATTCTGACAGATATTTTTATGGGGTATCTTGAAAACACGGTACTTAAACAGGCGATTAGTGAAACGACGGAATACTCCAGATATGTGGACGACACATTTATTGTCTGTAATAATAAACAGCATGCAATCCGCCTGCTAAAGCTCTTTAATAACGCTCATCCTAACATAGACTTTACTATGGAGCACGAACAGAACGACATGTTCCACTTTCTTGATGTTGCCATAAAACGTAGGGAAGACGGGACAGTCCAACGTTCAGTTTATAGAAAAAGTAATTGGAATGGCCTCTACCTGAATTTCAATAGTTTTTGTCCAATTAGTTACAAGAAGGCATTGGTTAAAACACTATTTGACAGGGTAGAAAAGATATGTACCACCGACAAACTGCAAGAAGAATTAATGAACCTAGAAAAATGTCTAAGAAACAATTTCTATGCACAAAAGTTTATTGACAAATATAAAAAGCCCAAAGAAAACAACACGGAAATATCTACGGTCAATAAAAAGACAGTATCTATAAATCTCAACTTTAAAGATGATAACGTCGCACAAATAATCAACAGGAGACTGAATATTGCGCTTGCCAGAACTTATACGGCTGCTAAGCTTTTAATTTTCTATAAAACAACATGTTCAATAACTAAATCAAAGGTTGACAAGCACCCCTTTCATGCTACCGCCAACTGTATTTATAAATTTACGTGTACCTGCCAAAGCAGCTACATTGGCGCAACAGAAAGGAGAGCATACCTTAGATTTTTTGAACATGTTCCAAAAAGCCTTAGAACAAGGGAAAGAAGGACTCTGAATAGTACAATCACCAAACATATCCTTGATACAGGACATCAGGTAGATACCTTACAATCCTTCAAGGTGATTAGTAAGCAGCCAAACTCCAGTCTTCTGAAGTTTGCTGAAGCCGTTGCCATCAGGCGTCAAAAACCTGACCTATGTGTTCAAAAGGAGATGGTTGTTAATCTTTCTTTGCCTTGGTGACAAATATTCCTTCGCTGCACCATAAATTACTATTATTTTTGTACTTATTACATCATTGATTTTCATTATTTTTATTTCTTCAACTACGTTTCAAATTAATAATCTTTTAACTGAACTCTACTCACTATATTCCTATCAAAATTTTTACTCATTATGTAATCAATTGTTTCTAACCCCCTTTTTGAACTGTTGTCACAATTAATGATGTAGAATATTCTTTCACATTAGGTATATATTTACGATACTCAGTCTATTAATTTCATTTACACCCTTGCTATACTATACGAATATGTCTTCAATATAACTTCTAACCAAACCCTCTCATGTAAGTCATTTAAACTCATTATCTAATTATGATTTATAAATATCACAGGTTGTAAGCAGCTGATGAGAACCTACGAAATAAAATGAATTCATGCTATTCTGCTAAAATCTTTGTTCTTGCTCTTTTCAAAATGATAAAGGGAACTATGTGTATGAAACCTTATTGAATAAATAAATAACCAAATTGGTTATCCTCTGAAGAAGTGACTTGCACTGAGTCACGAAACTTGAGAAAATCTAATTTTTCTACTCATTAGGATATTACAAATATATTAATTTGTTTATAACAACCTACCCAATGCTCGATCTATTCAATATTATCAAGTCAAACCTTGGTAATGATACCTACGAATTTCTTATTGAAGTTTGAAATGATTAATGAATATTTGTATTGTGCCTCATGAAATGAATTTCAATATTGTTGTGTCTTTTTCTAGTTTCAACTGGGATTATTTATTTGTGAATCTTTGATCCTCATTGCTGGGCTGGACTATTATAATAAAACTGTATAAAGAAAAAGTCGTTGTAGAATTTTTTTCACAAAACAACAGCTGTAGATATTCAGGGCTTGATCCATGTTGTCTAACGCTAGCTTATGGCACACTCATATACACATCCCACTCTTATTGGTACAATAAGTTGTTAACTATTTATGGATGAGCTATGGTGGCCTGTTTCCTCTTTCAGGTTTTATTTCATATCTATAATGAATAAAGCCACATATTATTTAATGGGCAATCATTGTATATGATGAGAAGTTTTATAAAGCTATCACTTAGTAACTTTGATCTAACGAAAGAAAACAGTTACATACATTTGGTGTTATTTAATTTTCTCAACTACATAATTTAATCATAAAGTATTCATTATCGTTCCTTCTACATAACATGATTATTTGTCTAGACTAGAAAAACAAATGATCTATAATAAAATCCTTGTACAATTGACTAACGGCTTATTTTTATTATTTATTTGAACAAATAGATAATGGTACAAGAAAGCACCAAATACATATGCGCCACACAAATCTCATTTGATTTGTGTGAGGGCTGTGATACTGTCCGGGTGCCCAAACCGAAGCAGGTGGTTTTCTTAGGGGGCCACACCGCGACTAACGGCTTGTTTTATCCAAATGGAATTTGATTAGCTATTACTAACAGTTCTGTTGTCATTGTGTATACATTCATTATAATTTTGTAAGCAGTGAGAATATATAATTATCGACAACAACCAATCCAATACCAGGTCTGCAGAATAAACCGTAGTAGTCAATTGTCGAGAAATTCTAGTGGGTCACATATTTTCAAGCGTGTTTTGGTGATGCTATCTAGAATGACAATGAAGACCTTATTATTAAATTATTTATTTTTCGAAAAGAAAGGCAACATTAACAAAATCTTTTTCATTGTTTAAGAAACTTAATCAAGCCACACAACTGGCACAATATTGTAATTATTTTTTACAACAGTAATGTGTCTAAACACTACACTAACTACATCATTGAAAATTGGGAAAAAAACAGAAAACATGGAGAGAGAGAAAACGCTTAAAAAACTTAACAATGACTTACAATTTGTCGTTTACTTTCTTCTCGTGCAGCACGTTTTGCTATACGCTCAGCTTCAGCGGCTAATGCTTCTGCTTCACGTCGTTCTACAGCTTTACGTTCTGAATCTTCTAAAAGACGTAAACGTTCACGTGCTGCTTCAGCTATAGTCCTTGCTTCAACACGTCTACGTTCAGCAACTATGAGTAGTTGATTTCGTTTGTTTTGTCTTGCATGAATAGAATCTGGTGATAAGTGTTTAGTTCGATCAAAATCAATCTAATTCAATGGAGAGGAAATGTAAATAGTGCTTTGAATTGAGATTTCATTACTAAATTACATCTTAGCGTTATACAGAAGACAGACTTACTTAATAAACTATACCATTTACTGGACAGATGTTTGTTTTCTGCTTTAACCTATATTGTTTGTGTGCATGAGTTAATGGTGAGTCCATTCTAATGTTGTCAGTTGAATCTATTTCCAAGATATGCAGGTGATACAATGACCCAATCAAAAATTAACGAGTGGCAAGGCCACGTTTTGCTAATCAAAAATCTCCTAATCACAAGGGCATATTATTATCCAAGAAATGGTTTCATTTTCCAAGAAGTATATGAGTCCTTCACTATTAGTTTTCTCATTCAATAGTTAGTTGAAGGCATTGTTATAGGAAGCTTATGTGTCAGTATTAAACTCGGACACGGTGCGTCTTAACCGGTGATGACAGATATCGAAAGAACAAAATTTAGTGTGAAAATCGATCAGTATGATATTGCAAATATGCACCCAAATAATAGGTTATTTATTAACTGATGTTAAATACCACTCAGTCAAATCATACAAATTTGGTTGTTAATCTGACTGTACATAGATCATATAAAGAGTAGTGTATACATATATCATTTTGAAAGTTAAATAAATCCTTACCACACCTTTGGTTTTCACTACGCGTCGTCGAATCTAGGGTATCAGTATCGAAAAAAACAAAAACTAAGCACCCAGCAAATATAATAGTTCCAGACATAACAGTTACTAGTATTCGATCGTGGTTGACTTCGAAGCATTGCTTGTGTGTTTTGGGACCACTAAGTGAGTAATCCCAAAGTTAGACACAAGATACTAGGTAGAGATGGGAAATCTGTTGATGAGGTGGTGAATCTTCATCGACTAAGATCGTTGGGGCATGTGTTACGTGTGCCCGATGTTGTCTAGCGTAGGAGGAGGCTGGGAGAAAACTATTGGAAGTTACACCGGGGCGTGATATCAATTTATGAACTTACTGGCTCTTGGATTGAGCTTTGTAAGTAGATGGAGACCACCTGGTTAAGGTTGGATGACATGGCTTGGAATCAGTCGCAGTTGTTTGTCTGAGTCTCAAAATTACATTATACTGTTTTTCCTTTGCTACTTAATCTTTACTGCTAATACTGATACTGTCACTACTTCTAATACTGTGGGATTTGTCTCCATAAATTTATCAATGGAAACTTGTATTGGTGAACACATATGCTAGGTTTTATGTTGCATAGGACTGAGATGACTGACTAACTGATCTTGAAGACTTCAACAATCAATGACTTCACGAACCGATGCCATTGTCTTGGCCTATAAATTAATGATGATAATAATAATCCTCAGGACAAATAGTAACAATAAAGCTTGTTTAATTAAAACAGATGGAAAATAATATGATAGCTTAAAATCCAAAACGATTATCTTGAAAATAACACCAAGTACTAAGAGATGAATCAAATAACAATAACAGGAATTCCATTTTTCAGCGGAATATTAAAATGTGAAATTTAGAAGAAATAAAAAATAATGAAATCAGTAAGATCTGATATGTTTAGTGAATAATAATAATAATAATAATAATAATAATAATAATAATAATAATAATACATTCTGTAGGTATCATTATCAAGGTTTGATTTGATAATTTCGAATAAATTGAGCATTGGGTAGATTGTTATAAATTGATAATATATTTGTAATATCCCAATGAGTGGAAAAATTAGATTTCCTGACGTTTCGTGACTTAGTGTAAGCCACTTCTTCAGAGAATAAATAACCAAATTGAAATTAATCCAAGTTTAAATAGTACAACGGAACAATTAGTTTTAATTTGGTTATTTATTCTCTGAAGAAGTGGCTTACACTAAGTCACGAAATGTCAGAAAATCTAATTTTTCTACTCATTGGGATATTACAAATATATTATTTATTTATATTAGTACATTCTGTTATAATATTCTGACAAACAATTTGATTTTTAATACGAAATGAACCTTTTATTGTCATAAGTTAATTAATTTTATTTAAAAAAACCTACTGTGTTGTATAGCTTGTTTATTTTTTTCTTATTATCTAATACGTATACACATAGTTTGGATTTTGTTAAATAATGTTTGCATAACGGGATTTGTAGAGATTGAAGAATTTTCATATTTTTAAATCATGAACTAGTCTTAGTTAGACCACTATCGAAAACCTGGAAGCACTGGACAGCCGTTTCGTCCTACTATAGGTAACTCCATAAGCCAGTGCTTTCAATCAGAAACCCAGGATAATTCATTTATCCAGTGTTCATTATGTTTTTATCACCTTTTTTTTAATTGACAATAGTTCACAGTAAAAAATCGTCTTCCAATATACGAATAATATACAGATAGCTCATAAAAACAAAACAGAACATGTAATAATATTTACGAATTTAAATACACAGTATACTACACAACACTAACCACCACAGCAAAGAGGACATCGATAGGTAAGAGAAAAACGTTTCGAATTTTTAAAAAAAATAATAATGCACAATTTTTTTTCCGAAAATATAAATAGAAGGGTGTTTCCATCTGTCCAAGAAGTTTCATTGATTTTTGTTTGAATCAATATCACTTTTAACCAACCATATAAACTAAAATGCCTTCTAAAAATACCCATAATAATAGTTGTTATTATTATTACTATTACTATTTAATAAACCTTATTATAGAGACTTGTAGAATTCTAAAGTTTACCATAGAAACGAGGTATATATTTATGTTTGTATATACATAAGCACTTATTATTGTGTATGGAATTCACTTTTCATTTATCTCCTTTTATTCCGAAGAGAACAATTTTGTTATACAACGCATTTTTATTTAACTTAGGAATTGATCAGGCCAAGGAATTAATAGTAATAATAATAATAATTTTTAGCGAGTCTATTAAGTTTTGTTTTAAATGAACAGACATACTATTTTTATTTATTTGAGGATTTATAACAAATTAGACTATTAATTGTTTAAATCTGTTTGATCTACCTTAATATTTTCAACAACAATAAAGTGCAGTGAGAAAATAAACTTTTTCAAATGTTATTTTTTAAGATATCATACTGGAAAGATTTGATTTGATAATTTAAAATAAATTGAACATTCGACGGATTGTTTATAATAACAATAAAAAATAAGACGTTTGTAACACTTCAATGAGTATTATTTAGATTTATGTTAATTTTAGTTGATTACTTTATTGTTTTTTGCAAAAGCAACTTAGCAATTTAAGCTGTGAAACACCGGAAACTCACTTTTATACGCATTTTTTGTTAACCCATTTATCAGACACATGTCTATGTAGTTCGCTTTGATTCAGACTCCCATCACAAGGATCAGTAATGCTATGCGGTTGCGTAAACCGATATGGGTGGGGGAGGGTTCGAACTCATGACTTAGTAGCTGAAAGTCAAACTTCTTGATCAGTCACTTATTGGGTTATTATAAATACATTATTACGTTATTTTAAAACTGTTACTCTGAGGACAAAAATGAAGAAATCTGAACGCTTAAAATTATCATCCTTTTAAGAGTTGATTTTATTTTAGACTACACTTAATTCCCCCAAAGATATCTACAAATTTTTCCAGCATATAAACTCTTGTTTGTCTGTTCAGTCGTATCATTGGTTAATAGAATACCAAATAATTCAAGTGATGTAATGGAGAATGAGTGACCTACAAATTTATATCCTCCAATCGTCCGTGACACTATATAATACATTGTGTTAAAATGTTGAATATAAGCATGTGACTTTATGACGTAAAAAATCTATTCGTTTGGCTAGTAATCTTACTTTTTATTTTAAATTATCCAAAGGCATACGTCAATAATTTTTCTGAACAGCTATCATTCGTAGATCACCACTTATTTCGACAGTTGAAAATTCTCTCATTAAACCAATAAAATTCTGATTTATAAAACCAAGTTAGTATAAATCTGTATTGTGAGTCAATTATTGTATTTAACCAAGTTACAGTAGAATCGAGTGTATCAGTTATAAACAATATATAATATATTTCCGAAAATTTTAATCTTACATACATACTTGAGAGTGAAAATTTACTACTGAGATACCGATTCATTATTACTATATAATAACACTTCACGTTTTATATACTTTATTATGTTTCGTTTATGATACTGTCAGACAATTCGTAGGCAAGTTATCACTCAAATTTTTACGTTTATTGAAAGTCAAGATTCGCAAAACGCGAACAGTTGATATATTTCGATAATGTAATAAGAAGACGGAGATTATCAGAACTACGTGATATATTGTATAAAAGCGTAAAAGGGCGTATACTAAGGTTTATTGAAGCCTTAGCCATACGAAAATTCAAACCCCCTTTATGTATTCAAAAACAGTTTGTTCTTACCTTAACCCTACCCCGGTAATGTTGACTTATTATCCAGAGTAGTTAGGTTTTGAATTGTGTTCAGATTATTATTATTATTATTGTCCTTATCTCCTCTTACCCCATTTCCAGTCTAGTTGACCTTTTATTTTTATATATAAATGCTCTTAACAAGTATATGTGTGATCAGATTGTTCGAAATGTATTGCGCTAGTATATCATATAGTTCCGATAATCTCCGTCTTCTTATTACATTATCGAAATTTATCAAAGGGACTAATTGCTTTAAATTCATATGATATAGTTTTTATCTCTGAGGGAAGAAGCTGCTGATAATCGTCAACTAAAATTTGAAAACTAATTCTGAGGATTTATTTCGGTTAGTTCTGATCACTACTTTTTCTCTCGTTTCACTTCTTCATTCTGAAATATACTTTATGTTCAAACTTTTCTACAATCATTTATATTGTGATTATTTCGACACCATTATTGTTTATCTTGTTAATTTTATTTCACTGCGTTGATGTTATCGAAATTTAGGTCGATGGAGAGTTGTTTTATGTCCTGTCGTTGATCATGACTAAGTATAGCTAAAAATTACAGCCCAATACGCAGAAAAACCACTTAGTTTGACAATCATATTTAACATATGAAATTCAGTGAAATACTGAGACTTAAAAAGCCAGAAAATGGATACACTTTAATGATCCACTTATGATATTGTTTATATAGTTTTACGTTAGACATCGAACAGAATCGTAATCGTTGCTTGTTAACAGTAAGATTTACGTAGCATCTTACATCAAATACCGATTTGATGAGCGGTGATCTTTCATCAAAAATACAGAAAAACCTTATATGAATTAGGTTCTTACTTATTATTGACCCTGTTGATGGCAATCTAAAGTTTAGCGTGACTAATAATATGAAATATAAACTTCTTTGTGTATATTATGATTAGGAGAAATAACTTCAATCAATTCTTATCTTATTTTTGATGGGTTGAAATTGTAAAAGATTAGTAATGAATTGACTTACCTTAATTTCAGCTGCATAATACAACTTTTCATTCTGATCTGCCAATGCTGATGACTGACTTCGATAAGTTGGAGCATAAACAAGTTTCTGACCACGCAGCATGTCCATGGCACGGCTAAATCCAGTATAATCCATATATTGTACATATGCTATGAATGTAAGTGGACTACCAACACTTGTATTAGTTGGACTAGTCAATACATTGGAGTTTTTCGACTTTATCAAATGAGATACTTTTGATTTGTCCGAGTCCGTTGAAGACGAATTAATTACACTGTGTTGTATAGTTGGATTTAAAATTCCAATTGTATCCGGACCAATTTTTCCAAACCCACCAATATATTCCTCTGTACAGCCAGAATCGTTACGGAATGAATATTCAATAGGTTTGTTAACTGTATTGTCAGTTTTTAATGTATCACATGAACTATTTAAAGTGTCATTGCTATTTATATAATCTTCCAAGCAATCAGGATTTTGTGAAGGATCTAACATTGGAATATCAATCTCCCGAATTTTTCCAAATACCTTAAAAGTGATAGAAACAATAATGATAATACTTGTTTAATGAAATATTAATAAACAAACTGAAAACAATAAGATTGGAATTATATACTAATTACGCTACCATGTATGATAAATATATACCACTTGCGAAAATTAAGGTGATAACACTCAATAAAACTTCGCAACAATGTGGAGGTTAATGCAGTAAGTTACGAGCTATATGTATATATGTCTGAAATCTGATGCAAAGGTGAGGTTCAAACATGTGACTCAGTGGTTGAAGGTCAAATGCTAAAGTAAGAAACTACGAAATTCAGGTATTGACTGAGATTGTACTATCACATCATATTTAAGCGAAATTCGACTTTAATTTTATAGTCAGTGACATTTTAATGAATGTGGATATTATAAAAAAGAACAAAAATTACCATCAAAAACTTGTACTTACTTCAAATGCTTCTTTTACAATCGAAGGATTAGGTTTTTCTTCGTCAACCAAAAGGGATAAATAGCTGCTATTAGTGTCATCACTATTAACGCGAAATCGTGGTCTGTTGTGTGATCCACTCGCAAACCATCTGATAGGAAGACCAGTGAGTACAAGAGTATCAGGCCTTTCACCAGATTTAGTCTCATCCATATTTTGAGCATCACGAAAAAACGCTTCCCAATCATGACGTCTTGGACAGTCATATGGAGCTTCACTTGCACGAACACGAAGGTTTTGTGGAAATCCACTTAGCTTGATAAACTATAACGGATTAATGATAAATTATAAATAAATATGCTCATGGAAAATCCTAGAAAGTGTCAACAACTTATCCAAATTAAAAAAGTACAGGTAGAGCTTAAGTATTTATTTACCAAAAAAATAAAATATAAGTAGTGTTGAGTTACCCTTTTTCCAAACGAATAGCGATCAAAACAGTTATTAGTCAAGATTTAAAAACCAATGTACACTCCCATGCAGTGTTTACCGAACGTTTTAGAATCCTTTATGGAATACCCAGGTCTTTCAGCTACCCGAATGCCAAGATATTCGCAAATTGTATGTAGTATTTGTCCGAAAAATTCGAGTATTGGATATAAACGGCCAGTTCCTGTCTAAAAAAGTAAGCTGTTAGAACCAGTTTAAAAAGCTGCAGCTAAGTTGGTTCTAGAATTTGTAAACCGATGATATGAAGGAAGTATGTTATGTGTTCCCATTATCATATAGAATTACTAGAGGTCAACTGATTACAGTCTTCAAATTACGCAGTGGTAACTTTTCATATGATATACCCTGTCACGTGAGTGGTAACAATTCAGTTTAATAGGCAGGTTTAAACTCATTAGTAAGTGACCCACGAAACTGATTTCCTCCAATAAGCTGTGATATTTAATCGTACTTATTTTTTTGTTCAGAACCAATGCATAATGATATTTCATTAGATAAAAACCTATTCTTCCGATTGGTGGTTTTGTCTTTGGTCTCAGTTTATTAGAGGGCTGGAGTCAGTAATCTGATCTTGTAAGCAATCACATCGTCAAACGGTACAATTGCATATCATCTATGGTCATCCATTTTAGCGATCTAAAACTCGTCTATCCACTAAACTCCTTCATTTTATTCGCCTTCCAGAACAGGAGATTAATGAGAACACTGAAAGTTCTGAACAAATAACCTGACTACCAACTTTCCTACTGAACTATCAGAAAGTGAGACTCTGTCTCGATGGATAGTTATAACTTCTTTAGTTATCCAAAAGAAGATTGGGTAAACTGAGTGAACTTCACAGCTAGGACTAACACAACCCTCCCACCTTTTTATCCTTTCTAAACTGAAACTGAAGACCAGTAATTAATTTTTCAGGTCCCAGACGGTCACTAAAATGATTCTCTAAGTACATATATCCAAATATCATTCAGCAAAATGTTGTTTTTGAGTAGAGATTAAGCGACCAAATGTATTAAGGATTATTTTTCTAATTGCTTTAGGATCGGAGGTCATGTGGGAAAAGATAGTAGTATGAAGAATATTTACACTGTAACTATAGAAAAACTTTCGTACAGGGAGGCACCAAATACATATGCGCCACACAAATCTCAATTGATTTGTGTGAGGGCTGTGATACTGCTCGGGTGCCCAAACCGAAGCAGGTGGTTTTCTTAGGGGGCCACACCCCGAGCCTTCGACCTGAACGTCTGACCCACAAGGCAGTGGAGCATCGTGAGGAGATGCAGTCCCATGGTAGCCGGTGACCAACGATTGGTTCATACGCCATTTGTTCCCGCAGGATACTGGAGCCCATGTGCAGCATTGGTTTTGGGTCCGGTTAAAGCGCCAGACATTCGCTTTTCGTCCTCTCATTTTTGTAAACAACACCCCCGCCACGAGAAGGCAGTGAGTAGGACTTCCCTGGCAGAGGCTATATACGCATGGCCATGTGAGAGCGGACTCTCCCCACTCTCGGCCGTACCAGGGCATTTGGGGGCTAACCTCCTTGTTGCTCGTTATCATGAAGATCATTTTCTGTTAAGGAAAGTACTTGCATAAAACTGCTGAGTACTAATAACCACTATCGACCCAAAAAGCAAGACACTAAGTAAATGTAGTCTTTCCTAATTCGAGCGTAATATTAATTTCTTTTATACAAACCGCTGTAGCTACATTCACTGATCGTATTACCATCTTACACCTGACATCCAACAGAACTTAATACATAGAAGAATAGGCTTATTTAATGTTACACATCGATGTACAAGTTGGCTCCCAAATGCCCTGGTACGACCGAGAGTGGGGAGAATCCGCCCACCCTCTCGAAATACTCACATGGCCATGCGTATATAGCCTCTTCCAGGGAAGTCCTACTCACTGCCTTCTCGTGGCGGGGGCGTTGGTTACTAAATTGAGGGGACGAAGAGCGAATGTCCGGCGCTTTAACCTGGTTGGTGCACATGGAGACTCCACCTAGGGGAGTTGGAAGACCCTGATTCCAAACTAATGGTGCACATGGGCTCCAGTATCCTGAAGGAACAAATGGCGTATGAACCAATCGTTGGTCACCGGCTACTATGGGACTGCATCTCCCTACGATGCTCCACTGCCTTGTAGATCAGACGTTCAGGTCGAAGGCTCGGGGTGTGGCCCCCTAAGAAAACTATCTGCTTTGGTTTGGGCGCCCGGACAGTATTACAGACCTCACACAATTCAAATGAGATTTATGTGGCGCATATGTATTTGGTGCTTTCTTGTACCATTATCTATGTGTTCAAATAATATTATAATAATAATAATAATAAATGTACAAGTTCAGGAAACAAATATATACATAAATACAACTGAGATACATATGGTAACCGTAATTTGTGGTTATGAACCACGGGTAGTATTTAGAATCGGTTGCCGTACCGTGGATGTAATTATTTCATACCCATTTGAGTCACTGGTCTCAAGATTGTTCCACAGATTTTATTTCTCAACCTCATACGTTTTAACAAATCTTACATCAATACATACATTTAAGTGCAGTGTTGAACAACCTTGTGTCAAATTTCTCGGATGGAAAGCACATACCATCTTCGAAGTGCTGAATTCAAAAGTTTAAGAAAAACCTAGGTTCAAACTATTCTTAGCTTTTTGCATTGAACCTGAATTAAGAAAGAGTACAAATTTATTAAATCCTTTAATCTACAAAAAGAAACTTGTGTAATCTAAGGCTAAACTGAACAATTAAGCAGCATCGTTTCACATCGATTTCTAAACGGAATAAATTTTGTTTAAAATGATTATTGTTGCAGCACGATTATATGATAATTTAGTTTCTAGTTATTATTATTATTTATTATTATTTTATTTGAACACAAATATTGGTACAAGGAGGCACCAAATATATATGCGCCACACAAAACAATGAGAATTTGAAGAGAAGGAGAAGAAAGTAATGAACGTGGGGAATAATAAAAAAAGAGAGAGAGAACAATAATCGGGGAAACGAAAAGGTACAATCAGAAGAAATATTTCAGTTAAGGAAGATACAACCACTTTTTATGAAGAAAGTAAAAGAAAGTTACAGCAGGATCGCCACTGGGTTCTATTCTGAGCCATATCTGATAACGTCACCAGCCACTGTGTTACATCGTCTCTAGGACCCCAGCCAGGGAGTCGTGAAGGACCAACACAAGCCAGCCTTTTGCAGCTTCCTTTCGTACCACAACACCATGTCATATACTGACCACCTCTCCGCTTTTTCCAACCAGTCCCAGAGTCGGCAAATAATGCACGACGTGGAATTCTCTGGGACGACATTCGTAGAACATGTCAAAGCCACTGAAGTCGGCGTTTCAAGATGGTGACACCAATTGCATTATCGTCTCTGTGCCCGAACACACGATGCCGAACCTCTGCATTACTAACATGGTGCCTTCATGTGGTGGGGGTGTTGTTTACGAAAATGAGAGGACGAAAAGCGAATGTCCGGCGCTTTAACCGGACCCCAAACCAATGGTTCACATGGGCTCCAGTATCCTGAAGGAACAAATGGCGTATGAAACAATCGTTGGTCATCGGCTACCATGGGACTGCATCTCCTCACGATGCTCCACTGCCTTGTGGATCAGACGTTCAGGTCAAAGGCTCGGGGTGTGGCCCCTTAAGAAAACCACCTGCTTCGGTTTGGGCACCCGGGCAGTATCACAGCCCTCACACAAATCAATTGAGATTCGTGTGGCGCATATGTATTTGGTGCCTCCTTGTACCAATACCTATGTGTTAAAATAAATAAATAATAAATAAAAACATGGTGTTGCCACTGAATGTCAGCAATCCTTCGGAGACAACGATGATCAAACACATAGAGTCGTCTAACATCCTCAACTCGGAGAGTTCAGATTTCACAAGCATAGAGCAAAACTGCTCTCACCGTCGCGCTGCAGATTCGACCTTTTACAGCCAGACTGACATCACGAAGGCCCTGATTGGCATAAGCCGCTCTGGCTTTCCCTATACGCACATCGATCTCATCACTCACGCCACCACCAGCACTTATGCAGCTACCCAGATACACGAACTTCTCGACTACTTCTATCTGCTCACCATCCAGAGTGAGTACAGGATTAGAATCCTGACAGTCTTGTAGCTTCTCGAGACAACATAAATATATTTTACATACATTCAACACTCCTGACAATCAGTACGTAAAGTAACTGAAACTACGACCGATTCATTATGATGAAAGCCTTATATAAGCATAATAAGGATTAATACTAAATCAGCTGAGCAATTTCAGTCTTCCACCAAACAAAATTATCTGAAGTATTGAATTTATTTCTACTTACGCCCAAATGCATTAGGCCTATGTAATCACAACTGATAGTCGATAGCGGTGACAAATTTAAAAATAGAGGAATAAACCCTGATTGGCCTTAATGTATACAAAACCGTTCTTATGAAGTATGGTTACCTGACTTTCCAGACTTGTAACCACGCGCCTGACGTCGGTTTTGTTTTCCAAGTCAACAGCGAATCTAACAAATTCCAACGTAGTGTGGACTACTTTCATGACAGTGGATGGAGCGAGAATTCCAGGACATAGTTGCCGGATTTTTTCGATGATCTCCCATGTAGTGAACGACTTTAACTGGCCAGATGTATCATGAAGAAGAGGGATCTGAACTGTAATACAAACTCGAGCTATGGGCTTTAAGTACAAATTAAGAGTAGGGCAAAAATCAATTAAATCAGAGATCTTTGAGGGTTCAGACTTCTTTGGTACGGAAACACTCATACCTAAGTGACCTAGAAAGTGAAAGTAGCGCGTTATCAGTGACCCATGTTACCCTGTGAAGATCCTAACTTGCTTCGAAGGTATAAACTGAATAAAATGATAAAATTTATTTTCTTGAACGGTGTCTTAGAGTTTCATCTCAGAATATCACTCCTAAATGTAAGAAACAGACAGAACATAATGATACTAAAACATCACTACAGTAGTATCAACGGTCTTTTACTGGCCGTTTTATACAGAAGTAGCTAGTCATCCTATATAACGTGTCTGATGTTTTGGATGAACTTGATTACGGAGAGACATGATTCTTGTTACGTTCCTATGGTGAATGACCAGTACGTTTAAAGTCCACTTAAATATATTTTATATAATGTTAAGTCTGTCACAAATACAACAATAGTGATTGATTTCGGGCATTACAAATTCGATTTCTATTTTTTGTACTACCAGGGTTCCACTCTTATTAGATTTAGTACACACGAATTCCAAAAGCCTGGAGAAATTGACCATCAACACATCGCTGAGGGGAGTGAAAGATCATTTAGAGTGCTTTGACGCTTGATTTATGTCATATAACCTTGAGGAAGATAAAATTTCAGCTCATTTTATTACATTTATTGGTAGGTATGCCTATAGTTTGTTTTAGAACCCTGTATATTCTGACAAACCTATTCTATTTCTGTTCATCAAGCTAAACAGATTTCTGACTAATCATTTCCAAGCGACATCACCGTAAGCAAGTGTAAGACCATAGATCAACAAAATAGTTTTTGCTCTGAACCACGCTAATAGAGGTTATATGCAACAGCTTCAGACACAATCTTCCAAGTGCGCTTACGATAATCAGTCTCATATCCAACTCCTTGACCATTTGATCATTGGTGTAAATGATCTTAAACTAGAAGAGCATCTAGCAAGAATTTTTTCCTGGACTTTCAAATAACTCAAGACTTTCGCATTACTTATAAAGTGTTTAATAATGATCTTCGTGACGCTGTTACCAAACAGCATAGTGAGTACTATCCAGCCGTGCTTTAGTCAAAGGGCCAGACAAGTTTGGACATTAGCACTTTTTTAATCACCCATTCTTCCGAAAGTACTTTGATCAAATGTCTGATCTTACAAGACTCGAAAGCCGTTACAGATATGAAAATTAACCTTGTACATTTAGACTTAAATGGAGAGCCCATCCTCTTGAAACGTAGATTAATTTCACATGGTTTAAGGAAGGCTGTGAGGAATAAGCTGTGTGAACTTGTTGGAAAAGGAATAATAATTCCAGTTGAGTCTTTCATTTGGACTACTATTGTGACTCAATTAAAGGTGGATGAAAAACACCAAGAATTCGCGGTGGTTACCGCATGACACAAGATACTCGGTTGCTGCAGCTGATTTGTACCACTGTCGGAAATGAAGATATTCTACACAAATTACGTCGGTCGAGGTGTTTTTTAAAAATAGACCTGGAGATGAATTATTGCAAATTCCATTGGATGATATCTTTAGTGAACTAACTACTATTAATACACCATTTGAACTGTTCAAAAGCAAACTCCTGCCGTTTGGAGAGAACCTTTCCAGAAGGTTATAAACCAGGGTATCATCAGACGTGGTGGTGTTGAATCATATCTGGATGATATCGTAGTTCATGTTGAAAATATTAAGGTGAATGAGGAACATCGTTTAAGATTATTCGGACGCATTAATGGC